AAGGATACTGTGAGAAACAGCATTGAAAGCTTTGCTAAAATCTAGATGGGTAATCTTGTCAAAAAAGGAAATTAAGTTCATTAAACAGGTCTTTCCCCTTTTGAACTTGTGTTGGCTATGATCAATGACTGCATTGTACTTCAAATTTTTTCTCATTAACTTCCAGAATAATCTTCTCCATAACTTTACCAGGCATTGAAGTGAGACTGACCGGCCTGTAATTGCCAGGGTCTTCTTTCATGCCCTTCTTGAAAATTGGAACATTTTGCCAGCTTAAAGTCAGATGGGATCCAGATTCCCAAGGCAGTTGAAAAATAATTGAGGGAGGTCTCATGATACCATCAGCCAGCTCCCTCAGTACCCTGGGATAAATCCCATCATGATGGTGAGCAGAGAATTTCTTGCATTGGGTGCTTTAAAAGCATGCAGCGGTATCTGGTCACCCCTCAGGGTGCATTAAAGACCTGTAGATGAATAGAACTGCAAGCCTGAATTTTCACCTTTTCTTATCATGTCTGAAGAAGTAGCAGCTTTTTTTTTTTTTCTTTATAGTTAGCAACACCTACCAGAGGAGAATGGCATTTTGTGGTTTGTAGCTTTTTATAAACTAGAACTATGTTTGCAGCCCTCTGTACATTTCTCTCATCTTTTCTCTCTCTGAAAATAGCTTTTGTGCAGCACAGAGGCAGTATGGCCAAGTGGTTCATACAACACAGCAGAGCATCCTACTTCTAGGGATAAGAGCCCATCTCACATTGATTTCACTGGAAGCCAGGCTGAGCCCACAGAAAAGAAAACCAGCAGGATAAAGTAGATTGATTTTACAAAACAGCACTTCTTCTCAGTCTGAAAAGGACTTCACTGAGTGCAGTGAACACATCTCCAGCTGGGATGTGGAGCTGCTCCTTGCCCTGCTGGACAGGAGCAATGCACACCTGGGCTCCTCTCCTCACTCAGGGCTCCCCACACTCCTGCTGGGATGCGGGTGATGTAGGGCAAGGTCTGAAAAGAACAAGGATTTCGCTTCTTTGTTTGCAGTAGTTTCCAGAAGCATCAAAGTAGCCTGTGGTAGAATCCCCTCCAGCATCCTCACAACACCTCCTCTTCAGCTGAGCTGTTTTCCACAAAGCCAGATCCAAGTAATTCTCTTCTCAAAGCAGGGCTTTCCCTCGCTAGCTCCTTTTTACTTTCTATAAACAGAGATGAAGGGAATTAACAAAACTCTCAGGAGTATTTATTAATTAACCAGTTTGCAAGCAGGCAGAAGGACGATCATTTTGTTATAAGAAGTGAATGTTTCAGCATAACCTTATCTGAAACTCTGCATCCCCTGACAGACAAATCGCACTGCAACATGGCTACTAGGTGACACTTTTATTGCAGTATTCAAAACAATATGTTTATTTAGGTTAGATGGAAAATCTAATAAGGACCTCTGTTATAATAAAACATAAATGCCAGGTATTTCTGTCCTCCATATGGAGGGGATATGCTTTGATATATGTGTTGTACTGCTCAGGTGGGTGGGACTCTGAGGCCATTGGCATTTACTGGTGATAGAAACAAGGTTTTTGCTTAATCCTGAATTGTCTGCAGAGGAAATGGCTTAATGGGAAAAACAAAACAAAGCAAAACAGAACATCTCCACACATGCACACACACAAAAAATGAGCAACCAAGCAATTCTTTCAGATTTGTGTCTTCTGTGTGAAGTTTAAAACCTCCAGCTGTTTTTCTAGAGCTAGGAGACAGAGAAAACAAACAAGAAAATGTTGAAATTTCTCTTGCGTTGGAAACATGAGGTGATGATGTGCCTGAAGCACCAGGGATCCTCGTTCCTGGGCACTGAGCTGTGTGAGGGTCTGAAGGATGCTGAGTGAAAGATCCTGGTTTGGATACTGTACTAAACTCCTTGTGCTCAGAGCAGCAATATCTCACCTGCCTTGTTACTTTAAAATGAGTTGGTTTTGGGGGTGCATCCTACACCTTCCTCTCCAGGGCTGTGTCTCATCAGAGGCATCAGGAGACACAAAGTGGGAGCTGAGCTGCTGCTGGTGTGTCCTGGAGGAGCTTGGTGGCAGAGAGGACATAGTGATGCCCATCTCACCAGCCACATGTGGATGGAAACCCATGGTGGTTAATGTTTTTTTTTTTTCCACAATGGCTTTGGACTGCAATTACAATCAGGCAGATTGAGTAGTGCAGAAGTAAAAGAAATAGCATGAAGTATAATAGCAAAAAAAAGCAGTTAAATGTGCCATTAGAGTTACCGGTCCCTGTGACTTCTGAGGGCTCCTCAGAAGGAAGCAGCAGGAAGACAAAGACTTGGATGTTCTGGCTGACCCCAAACTGAGATGAGCAAGAGGGTGAAGTGACCTCTAGAAATCGAATAAGCCTCTCTAAGATCTTCAGTAGGAAGATCAGTGTGGGTGCACCAAGCCCTTTGAAAATGGATCTGGGGTACCAGGGGCTGCTTTAATCCTGTAGTCAAACAAGACCATAAATAAATGCCATAAATAAAGTAGCTTACAGCTTAGAGAGAATGTAGTAATTATCAGAGCAACCAGCCTCAGTTGTTCTCAGATGCAACAAGGGTTTTTGCAAGGATCCTGTAGCAATGTGAACTGCAGCACAGGGATGTAGACTTGCTGACTTGGTGCCTTTCAGTCACACAGTTTGTTTCTAAGTTTCAAGTAATACCCAGAGTAATACAAGTAATACACGCTCACTATGAGTGTAGGTAAAAATGTGTACGGGTTTATGCAGCTCTGTGCAGGCAGGAGGAGAAATGAAGGATACCGCAGCCAGAAGTGTTTACATGTCTATAATTAACATCACAATCTTCAGCCGTATCTGCTTCATTGAGCATCTTTGTTTCAGCAGTAATAAATTCGCATTTGTTGTAACACCCTGCAACCAAGAACAAGGGAAGGCGACCACATCCTGCATGACTTCAGTCGTGTGCACTGGCAAGCGCTGCCGAGCCCAGCGGTTTTACCTCTGTTGGACTCCGCAAGCTTTAGATGCTGTGATCAGCCATTAGTCTAGTGGGTCGCTCTCATTTCCTCGTCCAGTCTTTTTATTTATTGATTGATTTTTATTTTGTTTGCACATTTGCTCCTGTGCCAGGAGTGGGTGCTCTTTCTGAGGTGTAAGAACATCGTGTAGTCACAGCTAAAGAAATGCTGGTGAGGAGAAAGGACTCCTCTGGTTCTATAGCAGGTGCTGGGAACTCAAAACTTGGCGGAGAACCCTTTTCTAGTTCATCTCCCTTTTAGCTGACTGGTGAAAAATGTGGTGTGTTGGATGCCTGTCACGTGTTATTTCATACAGGGCTTAAAACCTCCCTTCTCGACTATGAGCTGAACCCACCCTCTGGTTTCTGTCTCACCACGGGTCCTCGGTCAGGTGTGTGCTGGTGGAAGCCTTGCAAGGAATTGTGGCATACCCATGGCAAAAAGAAAGTGTTTTGTTTCCAAAGGGGTCCCCTGCTTGCTTCGGAGCAGTAACTGCTGCAGGAAAGCGGTGGCGTTCTTGTCTGCTGTTGTAGAAAGCAGGGAGCGGGGCGAAGCTCCAGGCCTAGCCCCACCGACCGTGGAAAGTAATGCTAAGTCAGCAAAATATTGAACAATATCTTTCATCTGTGTGAGCCTGTCTGCTAACTAATGAGCTGTGCGCAAAACCCTGCTCAAGGGATTTGAGGATTAAAAATGAAAGCAGCAGTGTCTGGGAAAAAAATGAAGCCAAGATGGGGCATTCCCAGTCGGAGGCTCATCGGGGAGAGGAGGTGGAAGAAGTGACCTTGCAGTGAGCCCCTTCACTTTTTGGAGTTGACACCAATTCAGTCTTCCATTTTTTCTAACTGTTGTAGATCTGAAACGTGACATGCATTGTGCTCATCTGCTAAAATTAGGGCGGAATTGAGCTTGCTTCCCTGTAGGCAGGAATAGAGTGCTTACACATTTTTTCTTAAATAAATGAAAAAACGATGACTTCTGAATGTGAGGTTGGTGTAATGTTTGGGTATGACTGTGTTTGTTAAATACTGGTAGTGTTTTCGTTACATTTCTCCTTCCAGTGCTGTGTTACTCCTATCCTGCTATTTACTATTTTGTCAGCTCTTTCCCGGAGGAGGTTTCTCTGGAGAGTATTTATCTTCCAATTAGCAAACTTTTCTTTGCAGCTCTGCCGATTAATTTATTTTGCCCAAGCAAACAACAAGTTGAACATGCGGCGTGGCAAATGTAGGAGTGAGGCAGCAAAGCCACTTCAGAAGGCGTTGCAGGCATTTTCATCCCGGATACTTTCCTGGAGACTGCACAAAAACCTTTGCCAAGGGCAGGTTGCTGGCTTGGCAGATCTGGTGATGGTGTTGCCTCCTGCCCAGGAGCAGTGCAGAGCCATCAAGGGTTTTTCTGGATGTATTGCTTTCCCATTTCACTGATAGGGTCATTAATTGCAGCATGGCCAAGGGGCAGCTTTAAAAGGACATTGTGGCGTCCAGATGTATGGGTATGAAAACCCTGGTAAGTTCCTACACATCCGACACAGCTGGGAGGAGGCCGTGGAGGTGTTTTTGACACCTTTTGCTGACCCTGCAGGGTCCTTCACGAGGACTTTTCTAGTCCCTTTTCTAGTGCATTTTGCACTGCTCCTCGTCTCTGCTTCACAGGCGTTTTGAGTAAACAACCTTATTTTAACCAAGCAGATGGAAGCCTTTTTATAGCCGTCGAGGCACTGGCAATGCGTGCACACCTCTGTTCTGCAGCACGGTTTTCTGCTGCATGAAGGAAACGTCCAAGGCCACTTCAGCAGTGGGTTCAGCCCATCCCACCTCAGGGACGGAAGGTTACCAAGGTCAGAACATTGCTGAATTGGCTTTACAGCCCTCCAGAGGTCCCATCGACTGGCTTGTATTGATTCCTCCTGCTGCTCGTTAGGAGCTCTCGTTATCTGGAAGCTGAAATTAGCACAGAGCCATCTGTTTTCCTAGGGAACGACACTGGGAGACGCAGGAATCTGATGCGAGCCCACCTGGCATGGTGCTCCTCTTTTGGGTGCTGCTCACCTCCTGCTGGAGCCCCGGCAGTGACACTGGGACAGCTGCTGTTGGTTTGGGGGTGACACCAAGCCCCCAGGGCCACCTGTCCTTGCAGCTCTGCCACGAGTGGCTTGGGGGGGTCTCATCACACCGTGGGCTGTGATAAATGTTGTTGAAGCTCAAGGCTCTACCTGGAGGCTTTTGTAGGGTTTGGAGTCTGCTGAGTGACTATGAGAAGTTCAGAGGCAGCCTTGCTGTTTGGGTGCAGGGCTGGGTGCTCGTGAAAGAAAGAGGCCAACGAGGCGGAGACAAGAGGCAGCACAGCACCAGGCACAGAATGCACAGGGGAGATGTCCCTGAGCAGGAGCCGGGAGCACCCCGAGGGGCTGCTGAGGGCTCGTGTCAGAAAGGGGAGCAGAATGGGAGGATTTGGGACATCCGAGGACGAGACGAGTGCCGACAGACACAGCTCTGAGTGCACAGTGCCACGGGTCCTCCTCAGGGCTGCTTTTCTGAGAGGTTCGGGCAAAGCTCTCGAAGAACCACAGGTCCTGGTAAGTAACCTGCTCTGCAGCTGCTTTGAGGGCTAATTTATGAAGCAAGTTCATCATCCTCTGCCCTCCTCCCAGGGGTGGTGCAGGGGCGGGGTGGCAGCTGGGCACTGCTGGACCTGGCAGGCCTTGCTTCCTTCACAGCACATTAATTAGGAGAAACATCATTAGGTGGTGTCCACCTGAACCCATACTCTCATCAATTACATCCGTAGGAGGTACAGCTGACATTTGGGTCCTGCTCTTGAGGAGCTCCTTCAGTGATTTTGCTGCCTCAAGCCGTGCATCCCTGAGGCCTCCAGGTTCTGCCTGGTCTGGAGGGAAGGACCTGCTCCTTCTGGGGCCGGCTTTGCAGGTGCAAGTTAATCACCTGGGCAGCTCTTGTTTGAAGGGAAAAGACAAAGGGGAGGATGAATAAAACATTATTTTGTCATGTGGAGTAGCTTGAGGTGGTTTTGTTGTCTGGCCCGTCACAGAAGCATTCATGAATTTCCAGCTTTGCCAGGGAAATATTACTTTTTTCACTGCTGATTACACTCCTGGTGTGAACTGCATAATTTCTTACTCAGAAGAAGATTATTGTAGCCATTTATTTTCTGGTTAAACTGGTGTAAATAAAACAATTACACCGCACTGATAGAATTTTCCCTTTAATGCACGGAGCACAGATGCGGAACACACAGTTCATAAAAAAAAAAAACGTTCCCCAACCCCAATCAAATCCATGCTAGAAAATGATCAACAAAACCATATATTCCTTGCTATTTGTTTGGGGAGAAAAACACAGCAGGGCCAGATGCTGTGTAGAAGCCCACATCACACGGGGAATTCACGCATGCTGCTGAGCTGCTGCTGTGTGCTGAGAGATGTGGGGCTGTCCCTTTATTCCCACCAAGGGCCTTTTGGTGTTCAAGCTAATTATTCCCGCTGATAAGGAGACAAGGGGAAGGCAAGCCCTAAATGGTGGCGCAGATGCTAAAAGGCTTGTGCGGCTTATTTTTTTGAAATATGGGAATGAGGAGGGGGGTGGGGAGGGGTCTAGGTAAGAAACCTCCGGCTCTGGTTGCCTCTGGGCTGCAGGAGCAGAGAGTGCCTGATCCAGGGCTGCTGTGAGCGAGCAGAAACCGAACTTGTTCTCAGCACACGATTACACGTCTGCTTTGCTTCTTTAATGAAGGCTTATATGGCTGGGCTCTGCTTCTTTTGATGTTAATTTAATTCTCATCGGCCTTTTGTCGTAGCTCAGGGCAACAGACAGCAGCAGTTCCTCGCAGGGTGATAAACAGCAAGCAGCTCCTGCATGAAAACTGACTCGAACGGCTTCTCTGCAGCTGTGGTGAGGCTGGAAATGCCACCTTCTGCTTCCCTGTGAGCCAGCTGTCCTGCGGTGGGCAGGAGGGAGGAATCCCCTGGTACGCATGGGAACGCCTTCCATTAAATCAGGACATGGAGGTGACTCTTCGTGACAGGTTTCCGGGTAGGTGAGGAGCTGGTGACATTTCCTCTGCCTGTTAATGATGTGAAATGCCTTCTTGTCATAAATTTTGCCCACGTGTTTAATGGTCTCATGAAGCTGCAGCTTGCGGTGAGCTTTCGGGTGAGGAGTGCTGGTGCCTCCCTGGTGTTGAGGGGCTGGACATGATTAAATCACACATGAAACACCTTCACCCTGGGTCACCTAGGGCCGATTGGCTGTGAAATAATTTAAGTTGTAAAGCAGAGACATGCCACATCTCATCTTTCCACTTCTGATGGGCATATCTGGTGGGTATTTGGGGTTTTCCACCTGCTCAGCAAAGGACATGGAAACGAATGGCCATGTACACTGTTCCTGCTATGTCCCTGCTCTTTCCCTCCACCCATAATTTGGTAAAGGAAAGGAAAATGTTCAAACATTTTTGCCATTATTGTGCACAAGCTCTCGCATTGCTCAAGAAGCTTTGCCCAAAACCCGTGAGATAATTAACCTTATTAGCGTTACATCAGAGTGTGTCTGGAGAAACCGAGGCTTTCGTGGGCTACGCAGGTGGTGAAAGGACATATTTAAGTAGTGCCCTGTGTCAGGGCCTCCTGACCTGCCCGAGGCCTGAGAGATCAGCTTTGGAAGAAAGGATTAGAGTAAGGAGCTTTCAATTTCCACTGCTTTGCTCATATAATGGCCTGGACCACTGCAGGAAGCTGTTCTACCACTTTCAAAGGCCGTATTAAATGGGATGATTTTCATCAACTCTCTTTCATGCTGCTACAATTCAATGTACAAAACACACAGGAGAGGCTGGTGGCCTCCATGGGACATGGAGCATCTTGTAGGGCATGGGAGCTGGAGGGAAAGCCCTCGAGGCATGGGGCAGAGCACACCAGGCCTTGGGGTGGCTGCTGGAGCTTGCTCTTAGCATCCCACCCTGCTCTTCCCAGAGAGATCATTCATTTTTATAACAGGGTAAATTGCTAACTTTTCACTTAAGTTGTAGCAGCAGCAAAAACCTTACTCTGGCTTGCCCAAAAGGGTGCAGAGGAAGGTTGTGTAGATGCATTAAGGAAGAGAAAAATAGCTTAATGTTTGCTTTGGCCGGTGAAGTTAGCAGTTAGTTGGGCTCTTCTCTGTCAGGCAATTAAAAAGATGGATTCAGGCTTTTGATGTAGGCTTTGTGACTTACACAGAGTGTACGCACAGGCTGTTTTATTTCCAGAGGGAGTAGGAATGAAGCAGAGGCTGGCTGTAGTGCTCCAGGTCCTGCTTTGGCTGCTGACAGTTCTCAGCAGGAGAGCTTCTTGGCTTGGTTTTCTCTCCGAGGTGTATTCCCAGGTCTTCTCTTTCTCCTGCTCGACTTTCTGATACCCTGGGGTTTCTCCTGTACTTCAGGCATTTCTCACCCACCTGTGTGTGACCTGGGTTTTCCTGGGGGTCCCGTGCTCCTGTTACTGAGCCCCACAATTTGATTTTGACTGGATCTGACTTTCAGCAGGGACTTGCTCTCGTGCAGCCAGGTCTCTGCCTATGCATCCCTGCAGCACAGCTCTCTCTCATTCACCCCAAAGCAGCAGGGATTGCTCACTTGTGTGGGAGCTGAATTTGAGCTGCCCACCTGCCTACACTGACAAAAGTATAGATTTTCAGGCCTATTGCTGATTCTGTCCCTCCTCTCCCCCAGCACTTACACACTTGCTGGCACCCTGTGCCCCCATCCTCTCTCCAAAGACACCTGCTCACTGCAGCCCAGCTCCTGGGGAGCATCCAGCCCTCTCCTTCCTCTTCCCAAAGCCTCCCTGCCTGTGTGGTAGCACGGGTTGTAGCCCTGGCCCTAATCTGAAGGCACATAATTGCACTGCGTTTTCCCAATTTTTCATCTTTGCCCAATGATTTTATTTTTAACATGGTCACTGTCTTTACTTCATCACTAAAAATGCATTTTGCTGCTCTTTGTCTCTTAATTTTGAGGGGCAGCATTCTGTAGCATAACTCATTTTCAATTTGTCCCAAAGCCACTGAATTTTTGCGTGTAGGAAAAGGGAAGATGAGGGAATACACCATGCACACAGCTCAGTCTTTCTATTCCTACCATCTCTCCTGGGCCGATATACCTCTGAGAAATGGAGGAAAACACGAAATAATGAGAAATGGAATAATCTGCTAACTGAGAACGAGACTTTCTAGCTTCTGTTGCTCGGCAGGCGGCTTGTGCCCTAAAGCTTGCAGCTTTATTGAGGTGAGTGTGCAAAGAGTGGGAGAAAATTGCGCTGCCTTTGCCAGAGCTGCAATTTCCCCACCAGGCTGAGCGAGCACAGTGTGGCTGTGTCTGGCCAAGGAGACCCAACAGCACCGAAAGGCATTATGATTACTGAATCAGTAAGCACTTCTTTGCTGCTAGCCTGCTGTGAAACTCCTGAAAAGCATTTAATGGACTTCTGAGATGGATTTCCATTGCTCTGTGACTGGTATCTTTCTTTCCAAGGGTTTTGCTCTCTGCCTGCTCTCCTTTGTGTGTGCTGCCTTCCTCTAGGCAGGGCAACCTCATTTCTCCCCACCCGATCTTTGTGCCTCACTGCTGCTCTGCAAACCTTTTTCTTTACAGTGCCCTCTGTGTTTTTCATTCTATACCAAACTCATCTCCTTTTTGATATTTGTACTTTCCTCATCATTAGACTAAATCCTGATGAAGATAGGAAGATCTGATGTGCTGGTTCAGCTTCATAACAGCTAAGGAGTCATGGACAGTGTAAGTGGTCAAAAATGAAAGGGGAAGAGAAGCAGTTGGCCTTATTCTTGCACTATCATCAAAAATGTATATTGCATCTTCGTGTTTTCCTTGGGAGTTGTGCAGAGAAATGTTGATGCTATGAATGGAGCTACAGCGCTTTTGTGAAAGGCAGGAGGAAAACCAAACACTTACAGCATCAAACATTTTGGCTGGAAGGTTGGTGATTCACAGCTCTTACATTATTTTTTTTTAATCCTAAGGAAGTGTCAGTACAAGGCATGCTTGAAGTAGAAACCATCATAATGCAAACTAATGCAATTCCCCATGTCTGCAGAGATGGTCAATATGCTGCTCATTGCAGTTGCCATAGAGATGCAATATTATCTTCTTAGCTCAGTTATGTGCACTGAATTCTAATACATTTAGAGGAATGGTGCAAGTTAGTCAAAGTCTTCACAGTTCCAAAAAAGCTTTTCTTGCTGAGCCTTCAAATAGCATTTGAAAAGAAGAGTTGGTCTGATGATTCCTCCAGTTTGAGTAAAATGTGGGTATGGAAAGACTTTGTGGATCCCTTGCAACTGTGTTTTAGTGGTCTGACACAGATTTTAGCTTGGCTTCTGAAGGATGCTGTTGCACAAAGTTGCACTGGCTTTGCTAAAACGGGATGTGAGGGGAAAGGAGGAATGAGAGCAATGGAGAAACAAACCTATGGCATCCCAGCCCCAAATATTTGCAGTTCCTTTCACAGGACCTGGAACTACACATGGCCAATAGCTTTCAAAAAGCCCATAAATAATCAGCTATTGATAAGTCTCAGCTATACACTGCCGGTTGTGCAGATGCTCTCTGAAATGGAGATTTATTTAGCGGAGGAAAGGAGGTATGGATATTGCAGCCAAGTGGTAAAGGTGAACCCCAGTGTTAAAAAAAATAAAAATAAAAATAAAAATAAAAAAAAGCAAATGCCCCCACAATGGACAAAAGCTTGTGTTTCACTAAGCCACTTCCATTTAGGTCGTTGTGCTGCTTTTATACCCACATGCACCTTTCTCAGCGCGTGCAATGACAAATAGCAGCTGACAGCATGTTGGCACAGTCCTGGCTGGAGGGGTGGAAGAGGTGTTTCTCTTTTTGAAGGGGAAGAGCTTCATGCTCGGTGGAGGGTTTTCTCCAGCAGGTTTTTGGTGCAAGGGGCTGTGCAGGACCAGTGATGCTTGCTCGGGGTGGCAGGGCCCTCTGGGGCTGCATCACTGTGGCTGGCCCCGCACAGCTGCCTCCTGTGAGAAAGTCTTGGGCAGGAGGTGAAGGCAAGGAGCCCTGCTGATACACATCACAGAGTGACAGTGGCTGAGGCTGGCAGGGCCCTCTGGAGCCAGCCGGTGCCACCCGTGCCCAAGCAGGGACACCCAGAGCAGGGTGCCCAGCACCATGTCCAGGCGGCTGCTGAAGGGCTCCAAGGAGGAGACCCCACAGCCTCTGGGCAGCCTGTGCCAGGGCTCCGTCACCCGCACAGCACAGAAGGGCTCCTGGTGCTCAGGGGGAGCCTCCTGGGGGCCAGGTTGTGCCCAGGGCCTCCTGTCACATGCCACGTGAAAGTCAGGGTGTTTGCTCAGCACAGCAGCTCAGCTCCAGCCCACAGGTGCCCCAGACCCCAGGGAAAGTAGAAACGTGTACCAAGGGCTTGGTGGAGCTTTCTCTGCTTTCACTGCTTGGTGCGAGGCAGGTGTGGTCGCGAGCGTTTCCTCCTGCCAGGGAGCCGTGGTGCAGGGTGCTGAGCGCTCTCGCTTCCTGCGAAACCCAGCTTGGGGTGCTCAGAGTACGGCAGGGTGGGGTTTTTGATCTGAATAACTGATTTAAAAGCTATTTGATAACTGTTAGCATAAATGGGGAGTGACAGACCGCTGGACCGTACTGTGCAAAGCCCGTTGCAAGAGCCAGGCTGTTCCCTGCAGGCTGAGGAGAGCCTGGCCAGAAAGAAGAGGAAATAAGCAGATTTTATTCACGATCACACAAACATTTTGGGAGTTATATCTCCCTCTTCCATGCCCCAACCTTCTGCTCTCTTTCCTGAGTCAAACTTTCCTTCTAATAGGCTGGCAGGCATGGTCCGTGCCCTTATCTGAGCTCCAGAACATGGATATGATGCACAGAAAATCTCTAGCCTGGTCCATGGTGAAAAGTCAGTGGAAAAGCTGGGTTTGGTTTTGATATCCGGGTGCTCTTGGCCATAAGACCATTATTTCCCTGTATTAGGACTGCTGTCATTTGTTTAAACGTTTATATATATAATATAATATTAAGCATTAATAATTCTCTTGGGTTTTACTGCCAGGATCACAAATGGTTAAAAGATTGGGCTTAGTCTAGACGGTGAGTGCAGATACGATGCTGAGCTTCCTGTTTCTTTAAAAAGCTTCAATTGGTATCAGCTCATTTGACTTCCTTTGCAGATAATATCAGCCCGCTACTTTTTACGTAGGGAGTGAACCACTGGCAGTGCCTGGACGCTGGTGTTGCTCCGTAATGGGCTGCAGAATTTACATTTCCTCTCATGAAACCATCTGCCAGGAGGATCCTTGACCTTTTTTTTGTTTTGGGGCAGTAATCTAATTCCAGAGGATGGGGCTTAACAGATCTGAAACCCCCAGGTGATGGCTGGCGTGTCTGTGCTGCAGGGAGTTAAACTCAATCGTAGTCCGAAGGGTTATTAAAACTGAAAGCGTTTTAGCTATGCAAACTCAGGCTTGCAAGACCCACATGACCCAGAAACGTATTTTTCTTCCTTGAAATGTGCATTTATAGAAGAAGGGTGCTTCCCTGCCCTGGAGCCTGCGGGACATCCAACATCTCGTGGGCTTCTGAGGAGCCTCGCTGCGGAGCAGGACGGTCGGTCCCCAGGGAAGGGCTTGGGGCTAGGGGGGAGCCCAGCGCCCTGCCGTGGGTGTTGGGAGCCCTGGCCAGGTTGGGATTTTCGGGTTTCCCTCCTGCCTGAGCATAGCAGGGTGGCTACAGCCTGCGATCTTGCCGCAGGGATGGCTGGCAGAGGCTGAGTCCGAGTGCTGGAGCTGACTTAGCAGCGGCTGTCAGTAAAATCAGCCAGGCCTTGCGTCTGACTTAAATCTACGTGACTGCTGCAGAACTGGCACCCGCTTGGATCAAACGGGGACTTGCACTGCTGTCACCAGCAGGACGGCCCCCGATCGGCTGGAAGCACTTGGCACATCAGGTGCTTTGGGGCAGATTCTGCACTGTCTTCATCCTGGCACTGCTTAATCCTGGCGCCTCGGTGATGCAGCGTGATCCGATCCCCTGCAAACCTCTCCCTTCACCCCAGGATGTCCGTGCTGACCCAGCAGAGCCCCCGCTGGGGAGGTGGGCGCCTCTCCCACCTGGGGGTTGTTGCTCTTCCTTGGGCTGTTGGCTGCTAAACCTCCTGGGGAAAGAGATGGAGTTAAATGCTGTGGGTTCAATGGGTTAGAGCAGTGACCCAGGGAACCCAAAGCCTGGGGTTTATGTTCAGAAGCTTTAATAAGATGCAAAACACCTTGCCAGAAACTAAGCAGGATAAAATCTTCAAATTTTATCCTTTCTTGTAGATCCAGCTTCATGTACACCACAAAACAAGAGTGATCTACCTCAATCCTAGTGCAAAACTGACAGCACTATGCCAATGATCTCTGCAGCTGTACAGAAACACACCTCGATGCTCGCCTGACCCCCGACTTCACATCCAAAAGCAGAGAGCACCACAGCTGGTACTGCTGTGTGATGCTGAAGCTGCCTAGCACTTGCCATTAAAGCCACTCAACTTCTGTTTCTTTTGACTTTGCCAGTTTTGAACAGCTTAGCCCCAAATTTGGCATACCAGCTGTCTGCCTCGGGCTGAGTGTGCTGCTGACTCCTTCCCCTGTATGGGAAGATGCAGGTAGGAAGGGGTTCTGCTGGGAAGGATATATTTAGGGGGAAATAGGATTAGGTTATATTTATGAAAAATGATTAATTTTTTGTTGAGTTGCTCATGCTTCTCTAACTGGTTTTCTCCTCCCGTAGAATAACTCGCTGGCACAGATGAAATTCCAGACCAGTTCTGAAAGGAAGAAGCTCCTAAATGCCTTGACTTCAATTTAATAGCAGCGCTGATCGCCAGAACTGAAATCCCTTTCAAATGCAATTTAGCTTCTGTGTAGCGGTAGTGCCATTCCTGGGCTGGCTGAGTATCACGCAGCTCTGACTCTGGAATTGAAGTCATCGTAGCAATCTTTTCTTTTAATCACTTTCTCAGTTGTTTCACTTTTGTGTCTCAGGGCACTGTTCTCAGCCCAGCAGTGCTATTAGCGGTGTCCACGTGGGGCTGGAGAAGGTTTCGATCACCACCACATTTTCAGAATGACGAAAAGGGTTTGAGAGGTGCAAAGCAGAGATCAGCAATAAACCTGGTGGCTGCCCCTGCTTCCCCAGGGCTTTTTTTCTGTCCTGCTCTTCCTCACAATGAGCAGAAATCACCCCTAGCTCTGGGAAGGGCCACAGCTGAGCTGTGGTTGCACCCCAGGATCAGGCACAGGCAGATAGAGCATTGGCTGTGTGGTTAGTTGAGGTCTGAAGGTCTTAAAAAAGGTGTGGGAGACAAGTCCTGGTGGGATTTTTGCATCCCAACACTTACGTTTGTAGAGTGAACAACCTGGGGGTGACCAAGGAACAAGGTGGGGAGAGGGACCATTTGCTTATTCACAGCATAAAGAGCGTGTAACCCACAGTGTGATGTCCAAGAGCAGACCAAGGGGCAGATGATCTTTTATTTTGCGTTGCTCTTTCAGCTGCTTGCTGTGCTTACCTTCCATTTCCATCGTACAGGCTGATCACTCCTCTGTGAGGAGAAATCGAAAGAGATTTGGAGAACTGGTTGCTGGCTGGGTGAAGTTATTGTGCCTGTCATCTCAGAGCAAAAGATTCAGCTTTAAAAACTAAACCTGAAATACTTGGGGACAGATGCTACTCTCAAAAATACACTTACTTTTATTTATTATTTTTTTAAATAAGATTAAATAGGAAATAATTGTGGGCAGAATTTAGATAATCAGCAGACTGTCTGATTTGTGGGTGACAGTGAGAATTTGCAGCTGGAGGAATGAAATCCTGCAGACCAAAAATGACACATAAAAAAAATCCACACTGAAGGAAGGATGTATGTAAGGAGGCCAGGCAAAGGCTGGGACGAAAATCAGATTTCCTGACAGATGATATCTTTAGGTCTGTCTTTTTAAGGAGAGAAGAGACTAATGAGTGCAATAGCAACTGGTAACCAGCTTCTGGCCATTTTAAGCTATCATTGAGCTCTGAAACACTGAAATGAGATTTATTACATCTGCCAGAGTGGTGTACCTCTCTGGAGGCTCTACGTGTCTGTGACCTTAGAATACTTCTTTAGTTACACGGTGATCAAATTGTTAATAAAAACGAAATGCTACCCACTCAAAAGCAAACACTTTAAACTAGTTTAGCTGTTCTTGAGATATTTATTTGAAAACATGCAACATCAGTTAGACATTGTTTTGTTTTGGGCAATTTATCCTGCACAGCAGCCTTGATCCAGCAGGAAGAAGGGTGTCAGAAGCTGATTTTGCAAGAGCTGTGTCTTGGAAGAAACAAATGAGATGAAGCAGTAGTCTTCCTTTTTAAGCAGAAATTGTAAATAGAGTAGAGGTTAGTGTGATCAAGTACTGGATGCTGCTCTAAAAATAAGATATTTGGGCTAAAGATGTGTCTCACAAGAGCTTTGGAATACATTAAGAGAGTGATGTTGTTGGTTGCAGACTTGCCAAATATTTTTCAGTCGAATGTTGAAATCCTCAAGGGCCCTGTTAAACTCTCATGCTTTCAAACCATTCAGTGTGTGGCAGAGTTGAAGGTGCGGAGTGTGGGGACGGAGGCGGCATCTTGGATCTGATGAGATTCAGCTCCCTGGCTTCCTTTCACCTAAAAATAGCCTGGCTGTGACCCCCCAGCACGTCCACACTGCTGCCCTGCAGCAGCTCTCTCTGGGGAAGACGCTTGGTAGGAGAGTGGGAGGGGGACATCTGAGTAGAGTGGAGTGGAGTAGGGTGGAGTAGAGTAGGGTAGAGTAGAGTAGAGTAGGGTTGAGTAGGGTAGGGTAGAGTGGAGTGGAGTAGGGTTGAGTAGAGTAGAGTAGAGTAGAGTAGAGTAGAGTAGAGTAGAGTAGAGTAGAGTAGAGTAGAGTAGAGTGGAATAGAACAGAACAGAACAGAACAGAATAGAATAGAATAGAATAGAATAGAATAGAATAGAATAGAATAGAATAGAATAGAATAGAATAGAATAGAATAGAATAGAATAGAATAGAATAGTCCCTTCAGTTGGAAGGGACCTACAAAGTTCATCAAGCCCACCTGCCTGACCAGTTCAGGTCTAGCCCAAAATTAAAGTACATTATTGAGGGCATTATCCGAAGGCCTGCTGAACACTGAAACACTGAACTACTCTAAGTAAACTTAGAGAGAGGAAATCCATTAATTAATTAAATTTAATTAATCAAATGCACTAATTTTCCTCTAGTGCTGCTGCAGAAGAATACTTCCTTGTGTCAGCTTCACTCCAGGCACTGACAAGAGAGATCTTTGTTGTTGTTCCTTGGGTGGCAGCTGCTAATACAGGGAGAAAAACTGGAGAAGCCTCTATTGCGTTGGCCAACATGGTGCAGGTGAATTATGTCAGTGAGCTTTTTTTGGGGTGTATGCAATTAGTTGAAGGGAACGGCACAAAGGCATTGCTCTTTTCTCTGTTCATCCCTGTGAAACCCTCAAAGGTAACTTGAGATGCCACTAATATTTTTCTCTCCAATTCAACGTGTACTTTTTACTTTTGCCAGTATTCCCAAGAAGACAGGTAAATAAATAAGCAGGTAAATTTGCTCCATGTATTTCTGCAATGCAGTTCAGCCCTGATGCATGTCTGGTGGTTGTGTATGTACATGTGAAAGGTCTCCTGGGCCCTCTGATAAATAGGAGGCTAGCACTGCCTACCAGTCACATCCAGACAGTTTCCCTTGTAACCGGGCTATTTTCCCACTGAGGTGTTTGTATTGCTGCTCATCACTATGGTTTGGTGAGTGCTCGTTTCCCATAAAACTTATTTTCATATCAACTTTGATTGCTTATGACACAATGATTGGAACAGATAACCAGATTTTTAATGATTTTTTCTTCCTGACATGCTTGGGTTTCCCCAGTTTATTAATACATTCAATGCAGTTGATGTCACAGAATCATCTTTGCTTTATTTCCCTTTCCAAAAAAGCCAAACACATCTTCTTCAAGCATTACCTAAACAAGAAACAACTCACCTCAAACTGTGAAACAAAAGCATCACAAATTTTGATTAAATAGACCCAGAGTTCTACAACAAAAGAATTAAGCCAAGGAGCCTGCTGGGACAGGTCCCATTTGTTGGTGTGCAAACCCTGCTTGCCCCATGCCTCTTGGGAGTGTTTCTTCACCACCTTGCCATGCTTGGAGGAGTACCCGAGTCCTGACGGCAGAGATGTGAGCCCTGTCACTCCTGTTTGGCTTGCTGCAGTAGCAGAGGGCTGCAGCAGTTGTCCCCGGGCCGAGGTGATTGACTAGAAGTGATTTTTCACCAGGTGACATTTACAATAATTACATGGCGCTCTGCTCGCTCCAGAGGAAATAATCAGCCTGACCTTCAAAAGGCTCTGCGGAAAGCGGGTCTTGTGAAAACAATTATTTGAACCTCCTGCCACGGCTGCTCCTGGTGCAGATAGGAAATTAGGAAAGTGTACTGTGTGGAAGGTGAGCAGAGAGCCAGGCGTGAGGATCGGGAGACTTGAGGGAAACTAGATTTCCTTCTGAAATCCTGCAAGTTCTCCACTTCTGCTTCTCTCTGCTGGGCTGCAGGCAGGGGAGAGGCCGAGATGAAGTGCTGGGGATGGGGCTGGGCTAGCAGAGCTCCTGCACAACTGGGATGGGTCCATGGCTGGACCCCCTGCTCCAGCTCCTGGAAAAAAGACTTCAGACTCCCACCTCACCTGGGGCTTTGCATGTGAGACACGTAGCTGTGTCCCGGCCACAATCATACCCCACAGAGCACGGGTGGCACCGGGTGGCTCCAGATGGCCCTGCCAGCATCAGCCACTGTCACTCTGTGACTCTGTAAGGTGACTCTGAATCTTGTTAGTTCATCCCAGCCACTCAGGCCCCCCACGCGAGGTGCCTCCTCGCCAGGAGTGCTGCTCCTGCCACATCTGCACCGCTCGTGTATGGATGCAGACGTCAGTCTGAGGGAGCTGCGGTCGAAGGGAGCTGCTTCAAACCAGCAAAGCCACAGCATGCAAAAGCCCGGGTTTTGATTTGCTGCACTCAGGCCTTTTCTAAATAAACCTGGTCCAAAAATAACAACCGCTGGTTTACTGATTTTTTGAACAGGATAGCGAAACCAGCTAGGAACAGTTTCCCAATACCAATATTGTTTCTGATATCCCTGCACCCACATTCTTGCTGTTAAGCAAACTGCATCCAGACTGGAATATTTAAAAATAGATTTATTTTTATTTTCAGTGAAATTATACTTATTCTCTTTTAATTAAAAAAAAAAAGTGAACAAACTTTAAATAAACAATACATAAATAATCATTCTCAAGCTGAGAGAAAGCTGGGACAATGACTCATTTTGGCTGATCCTGAAAAGGAAGCCAGAAGTGTTGTCTCCCCATCCTCTCTTCCAGCCAGTAAAGCAGGCTGTCTCGTTAGAGGAATATAATTAGCTGTTAGCTTAATTGAGGGTTGCTAGACACGCCGTGTGGACGTGGTGACAGTGCAGCCGGGTGCCGGCCGCCGGGCTGTGCCGGAGCCCGCAGCAGGGGCAGTGGGATTGCAGGCACGTTTCTGGCTCTGCCTTCCCACAGCGCTGGGACAAAGCCCTGCGCAGCGCTGGAGGTCCCAGCTCGCTGTGTTTCCTCGCAGCTGCTCCGTGCAGAAGCTGGGTTCCCTCCAGCGGGAGCCCTGGGGCTGAGCGAGGACGTGGCCGTGTGTGCTCCCAGCCAGAGGAGCCCCAGCTTTCCCCCAGCTTCCTGCCCTGCAGGCTGTGGGGACACCCTGCTGAGCAGCAGAGCTGCTTCCACCTGCCTCGAAGGTAGTGCAAACCCAGCGGGACATCCCCCTGATGGGTATCCCCCTGATGGGCAGCGTCCCGTTATCATGATTATCGCACATCCTTCTCCGAGGAGCCTTGTAAGGCGATGGGGAAGGTCTGCAAGCCTGCCAATTCCCGGAGCCAGGCTCCCCGTACCTTCTGAAGCGGAGCCCAAACATCTGCTGAGCAAGCGTGGATTGGTCAGAGAGCTGCTGGTGACTCAGAAGAGGAAGCCGAGGCATGGGCTGCCTATTTTTAGCTGTCAGTAAATGCACCGAAGTGCTGCACCGCCGAGCCGAGGGAAGGGCGAGCGAACCCTGCGTGCCCTATTTAGGGAATAAATGTGAGATACTTGCACCCACTTCTAAGCCTGAATTATAGGTAGTGCTGGGGAGAGGGGTGCCTGGCAGGAGGAGTCCCTGGGCATGGCTCTGCGTGGCTCAGGATGAGCTGCTCTGCTGCAGAAAGGCAAGCTGACCGCCTGCAGGAAAACACACGAGGGATGTGGGCAGCCACCTCCCAGCGCGTTACACCTGCCTGGCCGTGCTCAGCCCACCTGGAAAGGGGTGAAAATAAGAGAACTTAGGGCACTGCCAGGCTTTTCTCTTACAAAGAACAGTAAGAAAGAAAATGATGCAACAATTTCTGTACCTATGCGTGTAATAAATATATAGTAAACACATATAATATATATACACGCTATATGTCGGTATGAAGAAGGTTCTCTTCACCTCGTATGAGAATCCGAGAAGATATTCAGGGAGAGTGACAGCCTCTAGGTTCATAACAGAGACACGTTACTCAACCAGCAGAGAAGTAGCCTGCAGAGCGTTGCCACCAGATACCGCAAGCACCGAGAGTATATTAGGGCTGCAAGGAGGATTAGCCATTAGTATGTATGAAACGATATACCCAGAGATGCTGGTAAATTTTAACAAATCCAATTTCTGCCTGAAATTTCTTCTGTTATTGTTGACAGTAACGCCAGTTTTGATTGAAAAGGAGAAGAAAAAAAGCCACTTTCTTTTCTACATGACCATGCCTGTGCTGCATGGGCTCGGTTCCTTCCCTTGTCTTTGTTTTCAAGACTTTCACACATCAGAGAGGTGAGAAACCTTTCAACCTTCAACCAGCCTTGGCAGTGCAGTAGTTTCACAGGGCAAAACAGCACGAAAGTGTGAGCTGACCACTACGTGAAACGAGCCTGAGTGCAAAGAGGGCAGCAAATGGGTCTCAGCAGGACACCCGTGTGTGTGTCCTGGCTGGTGGGCTCTTTCCTCAGCAGCAGATCTCCAGACAGGAGCAGGGCAGAAACTGGGTGAGGTGCTAGGGATCTGGTCGGGTTGCTGCTGGCACAGCATGTGTTCTCTAAAAAGAGACCAAGAGAGCTTATTCCACCTCCATCTGTCATCGGTGGTGGGGTGGGCTGCTCTGCCGCAGGCACTGCTGTTCCTTAAAAGCTTCCAAATGCCACTCCACGGAGATTTTGTGGAGTTTTATTTGCCTGCAGTGGTTGTGGTCGCAGAGCCGCGTGATGGACTCGGAGGTAGGAGGCAGAGCATCTGCGCCAAAACTACTTCAGGAATGAGAGATGATTCAACGCACCTAAAAATTCTGGTAGAGAACAAAATGGACAAATGACCCCCAATATGGGAAAGGAAGATGATAAATAATGACTCTCGGCTTTTCCTCATCATTCTCTAAGCATTAGCAGTGAGGAAAGGAGATGTAGGAGGATCTGTGCTCTGAATGCTCTTGCTTTCATTTTTAATCAAAAAATTGATTTTATCTTTGCCACTGCTCTGCGCTGGAGCTGGAGGGGGTGGTCTGTTGCTGGAGATGGCTGGGTTGAATCAGCTCCCTCCAAACCCATGCTGTGGGGCTGCAGGCCTTGGGTTGCACCTCAGAGGCGTGGGTGCTGGTGCTGGAGACATCACGACAAATTTCTCCTTTGTTCCCTCTCCTCCCAGCATTGCCCGCATGGATGGAAGAGCCGGGCTCATTTGTCCATTCTGGCAGAGGACGATGCAGGAGCTGCACAGAAATAGCATTTTCCCTGTGTTTTCCTGTAGCAAGCCAGCACTTATTCTATTATTGGTGCAAATGTTGTTGAGAAACTGAAGACTAAATGTTTAAAAGAAAGCTCTGCATGGGCAGCATTGGAGCTAAGTGAGTTTGGTGGCTGAATCACCCGACAGTAATCGCTTTAACCTGCTGGGCTACGGCCAGAACCATATCTTGAAGAATGCCACGTAATAAACAATTGATATTAAAGTTAATGTTCTTAAGTTTTCCCTGCAGAAACTCTGTCTGGGATTGCCTTTTCTTATGGTGGCTTTTTAATTGCCAGGTTCCTCATGGAGAGCCACAGCTCCTGCTCTCTGTGCCTCCAAAGCACCAGGCCAAGTTATAGTCCCACGTGCATGTCTGGGGCATTTGGGCCTCCAAGTGTGCATGTTTACTATTGAAACATGCGGTTTGGTTGTTTTTAGCAATTTCCTTGTAACAGTCTTTGCTATGGAGAAGGGTTCAGCTGTCTGACTGCTGACATTTTAGATGATGTGTCCCTCTCTTAGGTCTGGGTGCTCTGCTGCACAGCGGTTGCTTGTGGATCAGGACTGTAACATTGCCACTTCTGCTCCATCTTCATAAATCCATTTCCTTTTATATCTCTGAAGTACAGTATTACGTTTCATTATTTTTCTACTTGTACATGAGAAAACATTTTTTTTTGAAGTGCAGCAGCATCATTTGCACCTTTATTTTGTTTTATTACTTTTTTTTTTTCTTCATTGTAGAAGGTATTCACTCCTCTTTGTCCAATCACTTCTACTTTAAAATGTTTGGCCTTGTTTTCATCATACCATTATACCTTGGCTGACCTGCCTCAGCTAGTCAGGTTTAATCAGTGAGAAAGTACATGGTGTGTTTGCTTTTCCCTGAAAACCATTTTCTGCTCTGTAACAAATCTGAAGCCCTATAAAAACGCACCAACAGCCTGCACGAGTGCAGCTGGGGCTAAGGGGAGCGGGGTGGCCGTGAGCACAGCAGGGCCTGCAGCTGCTTCTGCTGCTGGTCCATCAAGGCTGTGGATGTTTTGGAGCTGGGGCTCTCGCTTCATGAGTAATTCACTGAGCAGCCCCTTGGGAAGAAGCTGGCACTTGCCCTGCAGATGGGATGGTGCCCATTTTATGAGCCTCTCTGCTGGTCATGAGGATTTCCTTCTGAAGGAAAGCTTAAAATAGAAGCCATGGGCTCCTGTGGCAGTGGACTGTGGAAGAGCAGCCTTTAGCAACTTTGTTTTTACCTGTTTGGGGCTGAATTTTCTTTGGTAGCCTCAGCCCAGCTCGGATATTAGAGCTGTGGTGAGCAGACATGTCGGTGCCTCGAGTGCTTCCCTCCACGGTGCTGATGAAGAGCTGCTTCAGCCCCTGCACACCTTCCCCTTCAACGTGAGACCTGCAGCAGCCATGGGCATGGCTATAGTGCCACAACTTTTCCTTACTGACCTGGACCAAAGCCTTCCCCATCTCCTAAAAGCTGTGTCTTCCCCAAAGGCCTGGACCCATGGAGCTCCGGCCCAGGCCGCCCAGCTCCCACACCCCTGCAGGTGGTTGCGGGGGGCCTAAAGAGATGTAAGAGAAGCAAGCACAGGGCCGAGCACGGTGTAAATACAGGAATATAATACAGGAATATATGCTTGGGCAGTGAGCTGAGAAAGCCTGAGCTGCCTTTGCTCCTTGCTGAAGGACAGGATCCATCCCAAGGTGTCGCGATGGCTGGTGCCCCATCCACCCTGCTGCCTCCCACCTGCGCCGTATTTTACGTTGCAAAGCATTAATTATTGCTGTAACAAACATTCCTGACCTCGTGCTCTGGCAGCAGCCAAAGCGAAAGGCAGTTGGGCATTCACACCGACTAAGTGGCAGCTGCAATTAACGCACCTCCGCGTAATTACGGCGCGGCACCTGGCCGTGGCTGGGAGGCTTGAGCAGAAGCCAGGTCGTGTGGGAGGAGGGCTTCCCCAGAGGCCCTGGTGAGCGCGGGGCTGGGCGGTGGATGGATTACAGCTGTGTGTTTAAAAATAACCCGCTAACTTTGCAGAGGAATGTATTTGTTATGGAGCCACTGGAAGGCCGGGGTAAGAGACCCGGGAGCGAGCTGGGAGCCGAGCCAGGAGACGGCTCCTGGGCACGATGCTCCCTGGGAGAGGAAGACTTGGGCTGCCGAGCGAGGAACCTGCTCCTGTTTGTTTGCTCTCCGTGTTCGGGGAAACAAGACTTTGTGTATGGTTTATGGGAGAAATAAACACCATTGCGCCAAGGAACTGCTTCGCTCGTCACCAGTTGTGTTGTAGTGGAAACAACCTGGCAAGACCCCACATGTTGGCTAATCCCCGGGCCAGATGGAGGTAACAATATGTTTAAAGTGTTAATTAACTAGTTCGCTGCATGTCTGATTTACTGTTTTTAAGCAAGTTGCTAAGAAGGCTCATTTAAGAAATGCGTTTACCAGTGTGTCCTGGTTTACTGCTTGCACCCACAAAAGCTCAGCCTGAAGAGCAAAGTTGTTAGCTTGGGTGTAACAACAGGGATAATCATGTGAAGGACAGAGCCAAAAGCTGCAAAAGGACGAAGAGCATGGCACAGAACTGAAACAAGGGCCACACACACCTTTATTCCTGCAAGCAAAACACAGGGCTCTGAGGTTTCCTCCTTAAAAATACAGCTGTCAGAATTAACTCTTGATGATGGTGATGCTACAACAGGGAACTCCTGTGAGTGTAGGATTTGTGCACATATTCAGGTGAGGGTTTTCCCAAAGAGTGTCCCTACAACACAGCCCCAGCACACAGTGGGGTGGGAGGGAAGCAGGCGGGCAGGAAACCTGTGTAACTTCAGTGGAAGGGATTGCCTGCCCCCAAGGAGTGGATGAGGAGGAAGGGTGATGTGAGACAAAAAATGGGGCTGGAGCTGGTGTGCAGAGGAGCTGAGAGGGAGAAGAGGCAGGGACCAGGCCTGGGCCAGGGATGGCCTCGTCCCCTGGCCTGATGCTTGCTGTGGTTTTGTCTGCAGAGTGCATCTGCTCAGGGCATGGCAGAATTGAGCTGCCTCAGGGACATGTACAGCACCATGTTGACTCGGTCCTAGATCCAGACAAGGTGTCGGGGCGTCCGAAGGCTTTGTGTTTGCCCTCTGGGCATCTCTGCCAGTGGAAAAATTCCTCTTGGTGCATCTTATGCCCCAGAAGCTGCCTCAGAAAGCCGTGGCAGCAAAACATCCGTGCTGTAAACTGAACGTCCCTCCAGTGGCACCAGCCCGGAGCTTTTATTTAGTCTCGCAGCTCAGGCAGCAGATTTGCCTGCTGCGACGAGACGCGTGGAAGACAGGGTTTGTCATAGCTAGAAGAAGATGGTGCTCTTCAAACAGCTTGCAGAGCTGCTCTGAGGAGGAGTTGATCTGTGAGGCAGAAGGAACGAAATCAGGCCATATCTTCCTGAAGTGGAGATGATTTTTAAGTCTTGTGTGGTCAAGCAGCTCAGAGATGTGACTGCTTCTTCTCAGGTTCAGCCTCAGTTCTGATTTCCTGCAAGAAGGGCACTCGTGGAGGTCTGAGTGCTCCTGTCTTGGTGACGCCATCTCTGAGGCTATAAATCAGCACTTGCAGCAGGACATCAGCTTTGTTTTGGGGGGAGCCTTTGGGCATTCTCAGAGCTACACAAATATTGCAGAATCATTATTTCCTTCTTCTTAAAGAAAGCCACTTTTCACCATTTGCAGGATCACAACTGAGGTCCAAGTTTAAAGCTGAGGCCCACTGGGACAAGTTTCTCCTTTCCCAGGCTTTCTCCCCCTTCCTCCCTAGCTCAGTAGGTGCAAGGGGAGCACAGGCTGGAGCCTGGGGTCTGTTTTCCCTGCTGAATGCTGCCGAGCACCCAGCATCACTGGGTGAACAGCAAGCCCTGGAGCATCTCCTCACTGCCTGTCCCTCCTCTTCCCATCTCCTTGAGAACCCAAGGAAGGGAACATGTGGGAAGGAGAAAGCCAATACTCAGATGAACAGAGAAGCAAAACAGTGCAAGAAATAATTTAAAACACAGGTCAGGCAGTCCCTGGGGCAATTAATCCCTCCTGCATGTCCATCCCCAATGGCATTTCTGCCCTGAGAGCCAGCCTGTTGATCAAAGGCCTGGCATGTTGGGCAGCAGAACTGTATCTAACCTGGAAATAGTGGTGACAAGGGAAAAAAACGAGCAAGAAGGACAAATAACAAGTTTACTTTAGGTATATCAATAACTAGGCATGGTGTGTTTTGAAAATGCTGGAGTAAGGTGAGCTTTGAGAAGGAGACTGAAGGCAAACACAATAGCAGCTAGGTGTTTTCCTGACCTGGCCTTCCTCTTATTCATTTAAAGAACTTCCCTCTAACTACTCCTAACTTTATTGCTTAATTGCTAGGGAAAAAAACATAAAAACTGAGATAAAAATAAGGCTTTTACATTGGCTAAGCAGCAAGATGTCTTGCCTCAGAACCCTGAAACAGCTGGAAGAAATAAACCACCACAGGAGAAGTGTTGCTTAAAAAAAAAAAAAAAAAAGCATCTCCTTTTCTGATATTTCATGTAATCAGAAATTTTCCATTGCTGCCTTTAGTTACACAGGGGCCTTTCATACACCCGTATCTGTTGATCTCTGATAAAATTGCACAAAGGAGGCAGCTCATTAGCTCTCACTTCTGCTCTGAGCATGTTTTGATGTGCAGATTGCTGACAGCACACAAAAAAAATCCTTTCTGTCTGTGTAGGTAGCTATAATAGCAGTATTGACAGTGTGTACCTGCTGCAGGCAAAACACAGGGGATTCTCCATCTCCTCAGTGTTTCATCTGAGGAATAATGACCAAGGGATGTGAAGAGTGATTGTGGGGTTGAACCTGATACAAAGCGTTCCCGTGAAACCTGCTTGCTAAAATGATGATCCAGTTCCAGTAATTCAGCACCCACTGTGGCATCTGAAGTCAGACCCTTGACATAAACTTTAAGTTTTAAAAATTCTTGCCATTACCAGCTAGTTATTGATTAAACTAATGATACCTTTTATTTTTATAAAGGCTTTCAAGCTCTGCCTTGTACAGACGGCTTCTCAAACATTTAACAATTCCAGGCATGAACAGTTTATCTGAACATTTTGCTTGCAATGCTGGAGACGACAAACAAAGCACTGTTGTGTTAGCGTGGGGAAGCAGAAAGCAAAACTAAACGAAACACTTCAGTTATCTAAACTGGCTGGAATTAAACAGCATAAATGAGAAGAAAGTCGCATCATCTTTTAACTAGAGAAAACGTCAGACATCAAAGCTGGGATCTTTAAAAAGAAAAATTGTTGGCAGCACTCTACATGTGTGCGTGACGGGCATGAAACTTTGTTTTTGCTTTGATTTCTTCCTTTCTGCTCTGAAAACATGGAGAGAGGTAAAATGACTCCATTAGAGTTAAATGCCTGTGCTCACTAATGGAACAAAGATAAAAAGCAAACAACAAATGCATTACTATGACGGTGTGGCTGCTCCATCATCTTAGCTGGTGCTTGTTTCTTTCCCTAAATTAAGAAAAGATGGTTTCAGGCTCAATTTAGGGTGGGATCCATCTTGCCTCTGTGGGTAAACATGAAGGCTGCATACTGGGGCTCAGAGAGAGCAGATGGCTCTGCAGTTTTGGGGTGGCTGCTTGCAGTGGTTTTACCTTGCTAGGCAGCTGAACTCCACCACAAAAACTCTCTCACTCCACTTCCTCAGAAGATGAGGGGAAGAAGAAAAGGAAAGAAAAACAACTCATGGGTTGAGATATGGATAATTTAATTAAGGGAAAAAATATTTATTAAGGGAAAAATAGTATTATTAAGCGAAAAATAGATAATTTAATTACTCCCTACTTCCCACCAATGAGCAATGCTTGACCACATCCTTGAAGCAGGGTCTCAATACGTAGTCATTGTTCAGGAGGACAGACGTTTTCACGAGAGCCCGTCTATCCCTTCTCCATCCCTTTTTGCAGCTTTCATTGCTGAGTGTGACACCGTATGCTATGGAATATCCCTTTGGTTGGTTTAGGTCAGCTGCCCTGGTGATGTCCTGTCCCCATCTCCTGCCCACCCCAGCCTGCGGGTTCTGGAGGGGATGGAAGGAGTCCTGATGCGGTACCAGCACCGCTCAGCAGCAGACACGACACTGGTGTGGTACCAGTAAAGCTGATGACACAGAACTGGGAGGAGTGGCTGATATATCAGTGTCATGCTGCCATCTAGATGGACCTCAACAGGCTGGAAAAATGGGCTGACAGGAACCTCGTGAAGCTCAACAAGGAGAAGGGCAGAGCCCTGCACCTGGGCTGGAACAACCCCAGGCACCAGCACAGGCTGGGGGCCTCCCAGCTGGGAAGCAGCTCTGCAGAAATGGACCCGGGGGTCCTGGTGGGCACCTATCACCAATAGGTGAAGGGAAGTGATCCTTCCCCTTTGCTCAGCTTGGTGAGGTTGGAGTACTGGGTCTGGTTCTGGGCTCCCCAGGACAAGAGAGACATGGACGTAATGGAGAGAGTCCAGCAGAAGGCCATGAGGATGATGGAGGGCCTGGAGCCCCCCTCCTGTGAGGAGAGGCTGAGAGAGCTGGGACTGCTCAGCCTGGAGAAGAGGAGGTCCAGGGGATCCCATCACTGTCTGTAAATCCAGGACAGGAGGCCCTGGGCACAAGCTGGCCCCCAGGAGGCTCCCCCTGAGCACCAGGAGCCCTTCTGTGCTGTGCGGGTGACGGAGCCCTGGCACAGGCTGCCCAGAGGCTGTGGGGTCTCCTCCTTGGAGCCCTTCAGCAGCCGCCTGGACGTGGTGCTGGGCACCCTGCTCTGGGTGTCCCTGCTTGGCACGGGTGGCACCGGCTGGCTCCAGAGGGCCCTGCCGGCCTCAGCCACTCTGTCACTCTGTGGCATTGATGTTCCCCTCCTGTGGTGGTTTTACAAGAAGGGAACAATCAGGCCGGGGCCCTGCTTTGCTCTTGCTAATGGTGCTCCTCAGTGCCAAGGTGCTGACGCCCGGCTGGCACGGCCCTGCTGCAGCTACAGCAATTTGCAGAGGCAGACAGGAAAGGTCTGCTTCTGCACGGCCCAAGCTCCCCACTCAGCCAGTCAGTCACAGAAATTTGGTCTCTCCATGAATGGTGGCTGAAATTAGACCTGAGGAAAGTTCGTCTTTAATGTCAAGTGGCACTGTTTCATTATGCAGATTTTTTCAGAGCTGCAGCCAAATCAGTCCAGTGCTGCTTAATTGCTTAATATGATAAATCATGGCTTTTGCCAACTGCTTGCCTAATTATGTATTTTATTCACTGTAAACAACGGCTCTAAAAGGATGGAAGGGAGGCTGCGCAGGGTTTCCACTGCCAATCTGATGGGCCCGAGTACAGCAGCCATCTCCGCAGCTATACTTAGCTTGCTGCCACTGATGCAATAGAAACAGACCTCCAAGAAGTTATCTTTTATACTCCACTCTTCAAAATAATGACCCTTTTTACCATTTCTTTGGGGAAGTTGTGCTTCTGAAGGTTATTCGTCCTGCCTCCTGATGATTTGCCTATTCTATAAAACATCATTTGGCTTCTTTCGGTGTGTTCAGTCCAGAGCTTCAGAGCAGCCTTTGGCAAGACCTAGGAGAATCCTCTCCTTAGCTCCTGCCACTTCACCACAAGACTCAATCATTTTATATTTTATCTTATCTATTTTATTTTAATTTTATTTTTAATCTCAGTTCCAAGAATTACTGATAAACTGAAAAAAACAAAACAAAAAAAAAAAAAAAAGAAAGAAAAAAAAAAACAACCACAAAACATTATTTCTAAAGCAACTAAAAGTTTAGTTTCAGCTCAGAGCAAATTTAATTTATTTAGTGGAAAGCTGGGAATTAAGGGATGGGATGAAGGTGATACATGGCAATTGTAGGGCAGAAGTCCCCTGCCTTTGGGAGCTCACAGCCTGCTGGATGTGAGCAGAGGGACGGTACTGTGCAGGGTGCATAGGAAAAAAGGGCAGCACAGCCACTGGCAGGCATGATGGTAGCTCACCACCCACCACACTGCCTTCTCGTGTCAGGGTGGCTGCTCCAGAGCAGTGCTGGTGGAAGAGGCGAGACCAAACGCGTTCCCACCACCACGGGAGGTTTCCTGGCGTCACTTCACAAACACCCCCACCCAGCAGCGCCCCGTCAACAGAAAACAGCTTTCCACTTCAGCAATGCTGGTGAGGTTCATACATTTTAATGCTCATATACTGACTGCTCTTTTCAGTCTGCTTTAATTGAAAGATAAGCTGAATTTCTTATCTTGTTCTTCTGCAGTAGGAGTTCAATCTTGAAGCAGCACATTTTCCTGCTGTGTTCCAAATACATTTGAATTAAGCATGGTCATAATATTGGAGAAAGCATCAACCTCTATATAAAATCATCGTTTGTACCGAGGGAGCTGTATAATACTGTATTTTAAAGTGATGGTCATTACAATCAACTGTTTGGGCCATTCCAGCTGAGGAGAAAAGCATCCAAGCCATCTGTATCACATAGTGAAATATAAATGTCTTGTTTTTAAACTGCTGAAAATGAAAGGTTTTTGACTTCAGGGGATTCAATATCACTTCAAATATATTTTTTTTTTGCATCAGATTTCACAGCACGATAAACCAACTCTGAATTTGACGTCTCAGCTCCCTGCTTGCAGGTACCCTGTGTTTTTTTTTAGAGAAAGGTGATTTCAGAAATAAAAACCTAAGGTCCACTCACGGAAATATTTGCAGAGACTGTGATCGTAAGTGCAAAAACCACTATTCGAGCTGCAAGTAACAACTGATCAACCCTGCACACCAGTAGATAAGTGCCCCCGGACTAGCAGCTGCATGGTGGATGGCTGCAGCTGGTTGCTCTGTAGCTGCATGAGCACCTTTGAAATGCATTTTGTGCACGTTCTTTTCATGTGAGCTGAAGCCACACTTCCTGTGTTGAAAATCTGCATTAAAATTTATTTCCATAGAAATTCCAAAAGTTATTAGATTTATCCTTGCATTTTGTGAGCAACACAGCAACACCTACGTGCTTCCTGGTATTTTATTTTTACTTTTTTTTTTTTTTTCTGTTTTCTCCCCCCCCCCTCTTTTTTTTTTTTTTTTGAAAGCTGAATAACTATCATGGGAAGAGGCATTTATTTATTTATTTATTTATTTATTTATTAGCAAAACAGTACTTCAAAGCTAGCCCCATCAGAGGTTACTTACTGTGACTCAGATTTATGGACAAGGCACTGCAAAGGACTTTGGGCTCTCATTTTAATATGGCTATACCCTCCCCATTTGTAGCTCTAGTCTCAGTCTTTCCAAGATTATACCAGGAAAACACATCCTGAGATTCAGAGAATTCTGCTGCTCCAATGTTTGGACAGTTCGGCTAAAAAAAATTTAAGATCATGGATTTTCACTCCCTGGTCACAGCAGATTTTTTTAAAAGAACAAGGTAATACACTTGAAATCTGTACTTTATCTTAGTAGGTCTTCTTGGCATTAAGCTCATGCTGAATAATTTAGTAAGTTTCATCAAAATCATCTGAGAACTGTACAACTGAGAAAACCGTATTTCTAAAGGTTTTTTTTTAGCACTAAAACTGCTGATGCAAGATGCAAAAGCTTTATCTTGTAGATCCCAGACTGAGTTAAAAAGCAACTACACTTGCAGAAGATTAGTTGAAGAGTTTCGTATAAGGTCATCCTTTTGCATTAGACACACACCGAGAGCAAGTAGACCATTTTCAGAGCGAAGGCATGGGTTGCATGGATCGACTTTGAAGTGCTCTCCAGTGCTGGTGACCTTTAGCTCTCAAATTTCTTCTACACTTAAGGTTCCCAGAAACCTGCCATAAACCTGTGAGGCACCTGAGAAGCGCAAACACAGTGGGCCCCCAGCAAGATGGAAATCCCAAGCTTTTGAGAGCATTTGCTGGAGTAAAAGGGTCTGGGGGAGTGAGGGGCTGCGACATTGCAGACACTGACATGTAGGCTGGGGAATGATGGAAGAGCTTGCAAATTCAGGGGAAGTAAATGGCATGGAAAGGCATGAAAGGTTACAAACATAAGCAAAATTGGTTTCACAGGTTACCCCCATGCTCACTCTCTGTGTGCCACCACCTATGTGTAGGATTTGAGTAGGTGATGTTACAGAAAGTTATTCTTAGTAGCATAGAGAGGAATGTCTCACATGGAGTTGGTGAAGATTTACTCTGTCCAGTCAATCCCAGGACTGAGATGAGTTCAAAGTGGGTTAAATCTTTAATGCTGCAACTGGTATTTGGACAGCAGCTTAAGGGAAACACAAGCTATAGCACCAAGGTCCTCAGAGTTTATCCTTGTCTTGTCCTGTGGCAGGCAACCACCACAGACAGGTCAAGCAGTTTTGATGCCTTCTGGTTCACCTTGATGGGGCACTCCATCCCACAGGGCTTTTGTGGCAAAAAGTCAGTGTGTGCCTCTCCTTTCTGTGGCTTTAAGCATGGTTTATTCTTTATTAAGCATAGTTTATTCTTCTGGAGAACTAGTGCCTTGTCAGTTGTGCAAGAATTGTATGTAGTTTTGAACTTGGAGAGACCCTGTCTCCATCCCTGTTCTATATTTTCCATATCCTTTCCCACCTGAAAGCCTTAATCTTGAGTTCTGAAGCACAGACCATGAGCATATTGGCCTCCAGTTGTCCAAAAAATACTTTCAGCTGGAAATACTTTCAATTGGAAAATCTTACTTGGACCTTAGTAAACTATGAGGAAAGGTAGGAGTAGTTCTCAAAGGCCCTTGTAACTTTGTGGATGAGTCTGCATTGACTTGTGTGAGCTTCTTGTGATCCTGTGATCCCTGAAGCCCTGTGGTTGACCAAGAAAATTATTTTGCTCCTCAGAAACTTAGGTAACTGTGTGGATGATGAAGAATAGGAATACGTGTTCTGTGCGTTGTCTCCATATGGCAGTGAAAGCCTGTTCATATGAACTCATCACTACCCTCAGAAGTCCCAGGGATCTACAGCCCTTTCTGTAACAACAAACACAGCTCATGGGACCTGGTTTCCACCCAGTGGCCATGGACTGCTGGCCACTAGGACGTGCCAAGCTCCATACTGCTGCAACTCTCCACTCCAGATCTACACCCTGGGCTCTGCACCTCTGGGTTTGGTTTGCTGTAGGTCTCAAGGAAAGCAGATTTTCTCCTCTGAAGGTTTTGAAACTCCTTTGGTGGTGTCTCATTTATAGAACTATTCTCTTCCAGTGGTCCACACGTAGTATCTCAGGACCAGTGCCCTGCACATCACAGCTAGTCATCCAACAGCTGGTCTCTGGGTAGTTGTCCCCACCATCACCAGGATTTCCATCTGATCTCACACCCCGGAGCATCAGGGCATGAGTGTGCCATGTGGTGGGGGACAGTGCAGCCCTTGGCCCCTGCATACCCTGCTTCCAACTGCTTGTCCACGCAGAGAGAGGTGTATGGGCAGGGAAGGTGTGAGGCCACATGGGTATGTAAGTATCTCATATGATAATTTGGGGCACTTGAGAAACAGCCGTGTTGTTGGGGCCTCTATTCGGAATGTGTCACACTTGCCCAGTGCCTACCTCAGATACTTTTTGAGCATTTACTTTTTAAACTGAGCTATATAAGTGCCTATTTATCCTCCAGAAGGTGAGCCAGTTCTGCTGGCCTCCTGTATGAGAGTCACTGGCATTTGGGGCTTGTCAGGGGGCTGACAGCCCCAAATGAGTTACTCTTCAAGGCACAAGGATCCTGCTCCCGACCAAGAGCTATTATTTAGGGCTCAATTCATCTTTTGTCTGAGTCTTGCCCTCGGCAGCTGGCTGGAGCTCCTTGCAGCTTGCTCACTGCTGTGTGATGCGTGGTGGTGCCGGCCTTTGTCTACAACTCCACTTGCCTCCCTCTCTCCTGGATTATCCTTCAGCCCAGCGGTGCTTACCGAGCTGTGGCTGTCCCCAGGATTTCTCCAGCCCAGCAGCACATGTGGTGTGTCTGTGGGCTCGGAGACATCCCTGCCATGAGCGTGCAGGGCTCGGCAGGGTCCTTTGTGTCCTCCTTGGGCCTCGCATGCGAATCCTGTATTGTTTCCAGACAAAGCGAAATTCAGTTCTGCTGCTGTGCCGGCAGCCTGATACCTTTTTCTTTCCTTTCTCTTAGAATTACGGACTTTAAATCCGTGCTATGCTCTTTGTGGAGGGAGTTGAGCCCATTTATCTTACTCTGGTGAAAGCAGCTGCTGTGTTTGCAGAGCAGCAGAGGGCTGGGCCCAGGGGCTTAAGCCAAAGGCCAGCTGTGACCAGCCCAGGTTTTTCTCACCCAGACTGTCCAGTTATAATAGTTAGGGATGGTTTTTAATTGCAAAACTTAGGGTTTTGTGGAGTTCAGGGGTATGTCTGGGGGATGATACGTCTGGGGGACATTTGAAGCACATTTGAAGCAAATAACAGATCGGTAAAGTGCCCACAATGCTACAAGGCACGGGGGAAGAGGCCTCAGAAAATGTAAATTTGCCTTACAGTTTGTTGTGGCTCTTACTTTAAGAATTATATATAAAAAAATATCAAAGCTATGTGGGTGGTGTTCAAAGATGAATTTCAATGACATTTAGAGCCTTTCAAATTTTTTCCTTGCAGAAGTAAGTCTCTCATTCGCTTCGAGGCTGGGATGGAAGCTGAGTTACTCCAAGCAATGTGTGGCAGCGAACAGATCCCAACACCACTGGGTTTCTGCCGTCTCAGTGCAGCTCCTTGCACCACTCCTCAGTTGGGTGGACCTGGGTTTTGGGCTCAGCTCTTGCACGAGGAGCAGATCCATTCAATATTTTGGTTTTGTGACTGTGGTAAACTCCTGAGTTGTCCATGATACTGTGCTTCATTTATGGCCAATTTTGGGTACTACGTAACAGATGCCAGAAGTGTTTTGTTTTGACTCAGCAGAGATCAGCACCCTTCCCCATGCAGCATCTATTCGTGTCTGAGCCAAGTAACTCTTCCTTTAAAATCTGTCAGCCTTTTCTACAGAAATAAATGCCCAGGAGAGGAGGAGAGAGGCTGGGGACAGAAAAAATGTTGAGGTGTGAATAGGCATGTAAAAATGGCTAGGAATGTCTTCCGGGCAAGGAAGTGTGCAATTTGTTAGTACTGCTGGGCCTTTCCCTCTGCTCCTTTGCCTGTGGCTTGTTTCCTCCTATTTATGTGAAGCCCAGAGCTTGTGCTGCAGGCTGAAAGCAGCAGAGTGGAGAAGAGAAGCCAAAAATTTAGGAGAAAGTTAGCCCAGCTTGTGATGCCCTTGGGAAATCAGTGTGATGGGAAAGTTGAACCTTTCCTTCCTCCCATTTTCTAACTGCAGACGTTGCCCTTGTCTGAGGATCAGACCAGATTTCGAGCTCCCCTGGTGGTACGCGTGCTGCCCACCGCAGCAGCCTCCCGTAGTAACGCAGAATGCAGGATACAAATAACACAGCCACAAAGTGTGTGAAAGGAAGCTGTGGGCTCCCCGGCTCGGGGCGGAGGTTCCCCAGCCTCGCTGGGGTTGTGTTCGGCACCACCAGGACCCATCCGAGCCTAAGGTTCAGTGCCTCTTGTCACCAAGCTGTCTGCGGTTGGAAAAGAGGGCACGAGAGGACACGGAGACCGCTGGAGGAACACAAATAGTAGGGTCACACTTGTGCTTGCAAGGACCACGGCTTTGTTCTCAGGGCGTAGTCTCGCTTCAAGGATGTGCACTGGTCAGGGCTGCTCTGCAGGGCCGAGGCTGAGGATCACACCTCAGCTTGAATCTGATATGAAAGGCTTCTCTCACCCAAGAGCAGTCCCCTCCCAGAGAAGAGCCAGCTGCCCAGAGAGATATCATCAGCACGAGGAGATTTTTCCTTTACCCTGTTGCAAACGCTGTGGCTGCATGCAAGATGGGAAAGAACAAAGACATTTCTTGCCTTGCCAGCCCCCCTGGTGCTAAATAAACATCCACACGGTCTGCACGGTACTTTGTCTGCTGTTGGGGCACCTCGGCTTCACACAAATTAATCTACCTGATGAATACTTCCGCCTGTTTGATTTTTCTGCCTCCCTCCTAGACAACTCTATTTTACCTTTCTTTCAAAGCTCTGGTAATTCACCTGGTCCCTTGAGCAATTGCTCATTTTATTTTGGAAAGGAAATGCATTTATCCTTTTTTTTTTTTTTAATTCTCATTTTGTCCCCGGTAATATGAATAATGCATGTGCTGTCATGCAATTAGTCCACTGAGCTACAAAAGAAATCTTAATACCCAGGTTTCTGATGGCATCAGGTAGGAAGGCTGCTGCTACCGACATTTTCTGTGCTTCAATTTTTGGTCACGTACCCTCGTAATCTCCCCTGTTGTTTGACCAGCCGATGGTTTTCATTTCTAATAACAAAATCTCTCTGTGAATCCGTGATAACCAAAGGTTTCGGATAAATGAATTTCACCGGGTCATTAAATCATAACAGCACAAACAAAATAGGATAAAGGAATCCAAATGTCCTCACTGCCACTTGGGCGAGGTGGTGTTTGGTTGGCTGAATATCCGAGCCTCCAAGAGGGCCCCCATTTTGCTCAGGAGTCGGTTTGAGTTTTGATTGTTGATTTTAAACACTCTGATTTTTTTTTTTTTCCCCTAGGTGTGACAGTTGTCTTAAGTATTTTTACTGGTCCCTGCCTGCCCTGGGGACACCCCTCCAGGAGAAACAAAAATCCAGCGCAAGTCCTCTCCAGGGGAAACAGTAAGAGGATTTCTTTGGGTGGAATAATCCTGGCAAAGGGGAAGAGCTCAGGGAAGACTTCCCTGATAAATCCAAAGCTGTTTAAACTTCTGAAATGGCCTTTTCGGTTCCAAGAGGGAGCAATAACTATTTTAGCTACATGCTCCATTAGCCTAGTTATGGTTATGAACCACGCTAAGGCTAACAGCTTCAGATAATAAAATGCACAGCGTGAGCCTCGGGAACATTGCTGGTAGAGGAGAAAATATGAATATTTATCTGGGGCCAGATTTAGCCCTTTTAAGTGGGGGGAAGGGAGGGAGGGCTAACCCTTCACCCGAGGTAAAATACTGACCTAAATGGCCAGTTTTATGCTCAGACTTCTTTTTTCCCTGATGTTTCTTTTTCCTAATTCCCCAAACACGATGGATAGGGGGTCCCATTTGCCTTGCACACAAAGTGCCCTGTGCTGCAACGAGGAGGCCGGGCTCCTGCCACCCCTCTGGGACGCCTGCACGGGTGGCTTCCACCCTGCCAGGGGCACCCACCCATTTCAGAGGTCAGAAAAGAGACACCAAATTTGTAAAAATGTTCATCCTGCCACACAAACAGACCGCATCTCCCACTGCCCTGAGGGGCCACGTGCCGTGAAATAGTCAAGAAAGGCTGAGCAGGGAAAGGGGCTCAGGAGGCAGTGGCCAGCTGGGCAAATCTCCTCTTCCTCCCCTTTGACACCTGGTGGCATTTTGTTTCCATCCCCAGATCAGATATGCCGGCTGGTTAATAAATCCCGGTGCAGGGCAGCAGCTTGCCTGATGAAAACGAGTAATTACCTTTCACCTGACCAGAATTTTTGATTGCCACTGGCGTGATGAATTGGATTTTTCCTACGGTTGCTTAAGGAAAGCTGTGACCCCTGGAGAGATTCTCAGTATGTGGGAAATGTAAACAGGCTTTAAACCATCAAAAAGATGAGCAGGGGGCTGAGGGAGAGGCATCGCAGGAGGAGGTCTGACATTTTGGTGGATAAGCTGGGGGGAAAGGAGGTAAAGAGCCCGGTAACAAAGTGGACACGCAGCACTGCATCAGGTGGAGCTGCAAAGCGTGGAGGTCATTCAGAGGAGGGCAGGGAGACTGAGAAATAAAACCTGGTCTGATCAGCGAGGGAGCGATACGATCCCTCCTCTCATCAGCAGAAAGCACAAACCCGGGGGAGGAGTTAACGTGACCCAGATGTTCCTGCTAATTTATCAAATAACTACGCAGTAATCAAAGACAGCCAGACTGGAGCTGGGTGTTGATACTCTAAGCATGAAGGAATGGCGCTGGGTTCTCAGAAAGCTTTTCTTTAAAATAAGCATTTTGACTGCCATTTTGTGCTCCCAGACAGTCACAGGCATCCACGCCTGGCCGGGATGGGCAGCAGCGCACTGAGGGTGCGCCCAGGCTCCTGGGAAAGCTTCAGCTCTTGAGACCTTGGAGCTTTTCCTAAGGACGTGCAAGTGTGGTGGCTTTTCAAGCCAGATTTGCAGTTCTGCATGGGTGGCAGGCAGCCCAGAGCTGATGGGGTTGGTATCAGCACCTCCAGCTGGGTCACACATCCAGCCAGAAGGGCAGGAGGGATGAGAGCCTTACAGGAAAAAAAAATCTACCAGGACTTTTAATGCTGGAAAGAGCAGATTTTCCATAATCATGTTTCTGTGAAAACAGCAAGAGCAGCTTGGTGGTTTCTGTATTTTTTTTATTCCCTCCAGAAAATAAAATAAAAAAAATAAAATGGTCAGTACCAGCCGGAAAGGAATCTGCAGCCCAAAGGGACAGGAGCTGCCATGTGTCTGAGCATCACACTGTGGCATCTCATAATGAGAATTTTGGGCAGTGTTAATAGCATCAGCTCCACTTGGGCAACCTGTCAGAGAGATTGGATGGCAGCTGCAGAGCAAAATACAGCTCCAGCCTAATTGTGGTCCTCCAGGAGGAGCCTCATGAATATGTATAAATAGCTGAAAAGTATATTATGACACCTAGCTGATTCTTCAAAATGCAGATAATTGCGCAGACGTGGTGAAGACTGATAAAAAGTGTGATTGCTTTGAAGAGGGGAGTAACTTGTGAGTGTCTGAGCTGAGTTAGGCATCTGAAATTATGCAAGGGGGGTTTCGACTGAGCAACAGCACTCCTCCAGCCCCAGTTATGGTGGCTCCACGATGCCTCCAACACATTTCTCTGAATTCCTGTGCCAGACCAAGAGACTTGAGGATGAAATATCGGACTGTGCATGGGAGCACTTAAAAAATGACCCTTTGTAATGATTTTTCTTTTTTTATCATTCCATGTTATCCTATAAATGGATGTTTTTCTAGGACGATCGCATAAACCTCATAGTAAATAAAAGTTGTAACGTATCAGGATGACAGCCAGCAGCTAGGAATACACAGCACAGGCTGCCTAATTTTGAAGGATCGCTCTCACAGCCCAGATTTTAAGGGGCAGTTTAGGCAATTTCTGCTTAGCAGCTTAACTATTCTGGGTCATATGCTGCTCTGCCTTTCTGGGAAGCTTTTCTGAGAAGAGGGCAGCCCGCATTTGGCTTTTCACAAGTGGGACCGAAGTGCTGAAGTCGTTTCTCTGAATGAGCCATGCCTGCCACACCAGGCACTCAAGGTTTTCAGCCTAACAAGCCTGGGAAGAGGAGCAGGCTGCACATCCCTGGGGTTCCCAGTGCTCGCCTGCTGCTCTGTGGCTGGATGGAGATGAAAACCCGAGGGGCTGGGGCTGTGCACTTTGAGGCTGAGACAAGCCATCGCAGCCGTGACAAAAGCTGTTTGTGCTCCAGATGTAGCCGTGCTCTAGCACATTTCATCTGCCTCCTCTGAAACAAAAATAGTCCCGAATATTACATGGGAGGGAGGCAGGTCTGTTCGTCTAGGAGAGCACTTAAATGTTTGTATACGCGAGGACGGCTAATACAGAGCAGAGCAATAACTCCTCGGCTCTCTTGAGAGCAGGTGGTTCCTGTTACCAGTTCCAGAGAGTTTCTCTGTAAAAGCAGCGAGCTGTCCAGGGCCGTGTCCTCACTTTGCCTCTGCAGGCAGTTTACATCCACCGGGTCTGCTGGGTGCATCCTGCACCCTCTGAGCCTCCGGCAAAGGGACTTCTGCTCTGCTCTGGCCCATTTTACCCTTTTTTTAGCCCCCTCCCCAAGTCCTCTCCCTGTGCAGCTGTCTGAATGAGCCTGGTGGGGTTCATTTGTTGAATCTCCTGTGCTCCCTCACCTGCTTTTGGAGATCGGGGCATACACAGGGACCGCAGTTCGCAGTTCAGATCGCACATCAGACTGTGTTACCAGGGGTTGTTTCATTACCTAGTGAGACAACATGTGGGAGCGTGGCTGGGAGGTGCCCAGAAGTGGCTCCTCGTTTATTTGTTGTACACGGGGGCAGTTACCGTCCTGTCACCCCAATGAATAATGCATGAATAATGCGATAATACAAACTGTTGCACATTTTGTGAATCAAAATGAGGCCACAGCCTAGTCTAGAGACAAATGCAGCTGCCATCTGGATGGGAAGTGAGGAGAGTGCAGAAAAGATGTATTTTTGGTGGGCTCTCAGCATTTTGTCTCTCCCTTATTCTTGTATAGGAATGGAGACAACAGGGCTTTCCCATATCAGCATCTTCTGAGTTGACCATATAGTCAAATTCAACTCTCATTTCCATATTTTTTTTTCTCCTTGGAGGTGCAACAGAGCCTTCATCTCCTTGGAAAAGCAACTTTCTGCCTGCTGATGGCTATGCAATCCCTGAATTTGGCTCCTTGTGCTTTTCTCTCCCCAGTTTCAGAGGATTTGTCTGTACTGCTTAGAGAAGGGGCCCTGGAAATGACAGAAGTGGTCGTGTCCTTGCTCCTGACTGTATGACTGATGCAGGCTGCCTCCCTCAGGATAGTGCATCTGGGTGTGTGGAGGAGGCTGGCTGCCTGCCAGGGTGAGGCTGGTGTTGAAGGAGCCCTTTTCCCCATGAGATGGAGAAACGGACACTCAGGGACCAGTGCTAAGTGACATCTGTAGGAATGTGACAATGAGAAGCTTTTCCTTTGGCTAACGATGTGTGGATCTACACCTCTGCTTCAGATCTGCATCCTCTAGTGGTGTCTCTCCTCTCACCACAAACACAAATTCAGGATGCCTAAAGCAGAGATCTTGGTCTTCCCCCTAAGCTACACATTTCTTAGTTATTGAGCACCTTCATCCTT